CCTCCTCCTCCTCCTCCTCCTTCTTCTTTCTTCTTTTTTAATAGGATCTCGCTATGCAGTTCAGGCTGGCCTTGGGTTCACTATATAGCCCAGGATGGCCTGAACTGATGTTGATCCTCCTGTCTCAGCCTCCCCAGTGCTAGGATTACAGATGTGGGCCACCATGGCCCCAGCCTTAATTCTTCTTTGTCCTCTTTCTCTCCCACCCCTCCCTGCTCCCTTCAACTTTTGATCCCCTTCCCATTTCGAAAAGCACTATTGTCGTTTGTTTTCTTCAATTTTCTTTTTCTTTTTTAAAATTTTGTCTCTCAAATAAGGCTGAGGTATACTACACTGGTAAAAATAAGAGGCAAACAAGAGTAGTGTCAAAGTAACAGATAACTAAAACCAAATACCATGTAAAAAAAAAAAAAAAACAACCCAAAACATTATATAGTAACCATTTATCAGATTAGAGCAGCAAGAGAAAGTTACTTCTAAATCATAATAATTTTAGTGGTCTTTGTCAGCTTTGGCCACATTAACTTCGCAACATCACTCTTCATTTATAAAATTCATGTCAAGAAAAGAAAGGAAAGGGAGGGGCTGGGGAGATAGCTCAGTGGAATAAGCGTGTCCCTGACAAGTGCAAGCGCCAGAGTTCAATCCCTGGTTCCGCAAAAAAGAGAAAAGAAAGGAAAGGGGGTGGGGAAAGTCAGGTAGTTCATTCCAATAAATTACCTCTCCAGTTCTCATACACATGCCCATCAGCACAAGACTAGGAGATCTTGTTTTAAGTTATGAAGCAAATTAAAATGGAAAAATACAAGAAAATAGAAACAATAGGGTTGAAAAAGCCCCTCACTGAAAAACATCTGTATTAAAAAAATAAAATTAATAAAAATAAAAAGAGAAACAAAACTCTGCTAGTATAAACTAGCCTGAGTGGTTTGATGGACAGAGTGATTGGGTCAACTGTCACTGTGCTTCTAAAAATGGATTTTCTTCGTTCATGTTAAAGTGGCACATGAATGTAAGCTATTAAGGACAGGTACTATATATTCATAGGACCAAGCAGTATCCTATTTATAGGATACTGTATATCCTATAAATAAAAATATTTTACTTTGATAACTGACTGAATATGCGGGGGCTCCATGTAGGCAACTATGTGGTTGTTTTCTGAGTAGTCCTCTGTAAATATAAAAAAAAAATTTTTTTTGCTATAATGCTTTGACCCTACAGTTTTCGCAGCAACATAACTACCATCCAGCATGTACCATATTTTGCAAGCCTTCAAGTTCAACAATCCAAATTGTCGATTCATATTATGTCCAAATGCAGCATCCTCGAGGTTAAGCATCCAGGGGCATACAGACATCGCCCGATTCATCCCATCGAGGCGGGTCATTCTGATCTTCTCCATCATCAACCAGCTCTTCATCAGCTTCTCATACTTCAGTCTCCTCATATTCTTCATCCCGAGGGAATTCTGCATCCTGTCCCTGATCTACACCTTCTTGCCCTCCTGCTTGTGATTTATCTGCACAGTCTACACAAACACCATAACAATGAGATCCATTTCTTATTCCTGACACTGGCTGCTAACATGAAGATCTTACACACCATACATCTGTATTTTTTATCCTTTGTATGAACCAAGGAATGTCTTTTTACATGTTCTCTTTGAGTAAACAGCTTCCTACGAATATCACAGCTAAATGATCTCACTCCCTAAATGAGCAAGTGCCTTTTTGTGTTCTTCTGTGTTTGGCTACATAGCTACAATGAGGGCATTTTAACTTGTTCACCATAATTAGAGATGATTCACTATTTTCCCAAATTTCTTGTTTTGGCCAAGATTCTGGCAATAATCCATACTTGAAATCATTTGAAGCACCTGGTAGCAGCCCATACTTGAAATCACTTGAAGTATGTGGTAGTAATCCATATTTGAAATAACGTGACAAGCCAGGTATCAAACTATATTTGAAATCACGTGAAGTACCAGCATCGCCTCCATCCTGAGCACTCCAGGCTTCAGCCAACAGACTTGCATTTACACCATCTGGCCCTGAGAATACAGCGTCATCCAGATCTGGTTCCTGCTTATTTTCCTCTGGATGGGCAACAAGTGGCTGTATCACTGAGGAATCTTCTAAATTTATTTCATTATTAGGTGGTGTATCATAAACAAATCTCTTTGTAGTTTGGTTTTTTCTCCTTGTCTTGCCAGTCTTCAATTTTCTTTCTTTTTTCTTTCTTTTTTTTTTTTTTTTGGTGGAACCGGGGTTTTGAACTCAGGTCCTTGTGCTTGCCAGGCAAGCGCTTATTCTACTGAGCCATTTCCCCGGCCCCTTCAATTTTTTTTTTTAAATTCATTTTTCCTTCCTTCTCTCCCCATTCCATCTCTTGTTCCCTTCCCATCTGAGAAAGATCTCCCTACTTCCTATGATTTATCATTTATCTTGCTTTGTACTTATATTTTGAGTTTCTCATGCAGGAGAAACCATACAATTTTTAAACTTGTGTCTGATTTATTTCATTTAACATTATGGTCTTTTTTAATGTATTTGGTACAGGGTCTCACTACATAGCTCGGACTCGTAGTGATCCTCCTGTTTTCAGCCTCCCCAGTGCTGGGATTACAGGCGTGCTCCACCATGCTGGGTCTCGGTGGCCAGTTCATCGTGCCTGGGAGTGGGGCCAGCACAGCATGTGGTGCCAGGGATTGAAGCTTGCCTAAGCAGGCGCTTAGTCTGCTGAGTTTCTCACCAGCCCAACATTATGGTCTTGAAGTGCAACCATTTACCTACCAATACTTCAGGTTTGTCTTTCTTTGTGGCAGAGTAGTACTCCACTGTGTATAAATACTACATTTTCTTTAACCATTTCTACCTATTAATATTTCCTGATTATCAGAGAAGCTGAAGAGCATTTTCATTAAAATCTTTAGTCAAATTGTTCCTAATATTCATCAAGCTCCTAATAGTTCCCATATTCATAAGATTAATTCAAAATTCCATAATTAGTAAAAAATCAAATTCTATACTTAATTTGAATATGTTTTAATTATGTCAGTTTTACAGTCTTTCATTATGTGATATGTTTGCTTTCATTTTATGTGTGGTTCTCATATTTATAAATGTGTGTTGTGACTTAATTTGGGGTTTGGATTTTTATAATGTGAATTATTTATCTGTCTGGCTAACATCTATTCATATTCTTACAAGGAGCAATGACAAATCAGTTTGCTTCCCGCTCTACTTGCCAGAAGCCTTATTTCTCAGAGCTTGTCTCTGTTTCATTAAATATCCTATATTTGGGTTTCCCTGTCTCTCGTGAGTGACATCCAGCTCCTGCCTGTCCCCAACCCCTACGTTCCTTGCTTGGTCTCATCTTCATCAGAGGCTCTCACAACCTTGTTCTGCTTGTTTGTTTTTATCTATCTAGTACAGGGTCTACAAGGTCTCACTATGTAGATCAGACTTGTAGTGATTCTCCTGTTTTCAGCCTCCCAAGCACTGGGATTACAGGTGCATACCAGCATGCTCAGTCTCAATCGCTATCTCAGTGTGCCCTGGGGGTGGGACCAGCACAGCAAGCCAGGGGTGGAACCCAGGCCCCTGTGTCTGCCTAAACAGGCACTGAGCTATCTAGCTGGCTCTAACCTTGTTGTTCTGATCAGCTGTTCTCAACTTCATTTTCTGTGGTTGTGTGTTAGTATAACATGAATATATTTTGGGCTTGCCACCAGCTCTTTTGCTGTGACCCCTTGTTCTCTAGTAGTTTTCTCAGGCAGAGCCTATGGGAACAATATGCCTTAAGTCCTTGAGACCAAGCTGGTTCCCGTAGCTTAGCAGCTTTCAGGAGGGCTTTTTAGAGCATCTTTGCAGGTGTTTTCCAAGATCTGCTGCTGCCCAGATGTTGCCCCCCACACACGCCATCTCTGTGGATGCCTCCCTAATGTCTCCTGCAGGGTTCTCCTTCCCTCCAAGACCCCGTGGATGTGTGACATGGATGAACTCAGCATCTCAGGGTGACTTCGTCATCTGCAGTGACTGTGTTTTGTGGCCTGTTCATCTCCTGTAGTGATTTTTTATTCTCTCCCAACATCTTTGCTTCCCCTTAATGACCCAGTGCTTACATCATTTATCTGCTTTTGGTTCTTTCTTTCTTTCTTTCTTTCTTTCTTTCTTTCTTTCTTTCTTTCTTTCTTTCAGACAGGGTCTTAATATGTAGTGCAGGCTGGCCTTGAACTCACTATGTAGCCTAGGCTGGCCTCAAACTTGAGGTGATCCTCCTGCCTCAGCCTCCTGAGTGCTGGGATTATAGGCAGGTGCCACCATACCGGGCTAAGACTGTAGTGTAAAGGTTCTGGGTTCAATCCCCACTGCCAGAAGAAAAAAATTACATTTCATTGATTCTTGGCATAGGTGCCATTCATAGCCACATTGGCCCTGTGTGGGTGGTGTCCTGTTAGTGCCATGTGCTTGGTGCTACTGGTCAGGATACATTCTGCACTCCCACTCCCACCTCTTCCTAATTCTGTCCAGAGTGACTGGCGCACCAGAGAAGGACAGATGGGTTGCTGGAGTTAGGGTGGGGCAGTGAGAATGAGGGTCTTTCCAGAAGGCAGCGTTCATTCAGGGAGAGGTTGGAAGAGCCAGGGCTGCCTCTGGAGGCTGGATGTTCCTTAGTCTGATTCCTGGGATCAAAGACTGCGGGGGATGGCCGTGGAGTCTTGGGACTCGGTCCTATGTCTGTGCTTCTTAATTTTCTGCAGTTCTGAGGAGCAGGGCTCAGACTCCCTGCAGAGCGTTTGGGGTGAGGTTCAAGGAAGTGGGGTTGCCATCCCAGAGGATGCCTAATGCACTTGTAGTTAAGTCTTCCCTCCTTCCCTGTGTTCCTAGGAGCCCCAAGCAACTGAGGCTCCGACTATACCTACCAGCAGCAGCTCTGGAAGTCGGGTGGTTGTGGAGCCTATGGATACAGAAGCCCAGGAGGACAGCAGGACATGCACGGATGACCAGAGAACCAGAGGCAGGAAGAGTCCACAGGTGCCAGTGGCCGGGAGGACCGAGGGACAGAGGGCACACACAGCCCAGAGGACGCAGGTGGATGTTGTGATGCAAGAAAGTGAGAGCCCGCAGTCAGACAGGAGTTCACAGAAGGATGTGGTGATGCAGAAAAGAATGGAAACGCAGGTAGCAAGGGTACCAGAGGATGAGAGGATGCAGGAAGACAAGAGGATGCAGGAAGGGGAGCGGACAGAACCAGAGGGCTGTGTCGCACCAGCTAGTGAAGGCCACCCAGAGCAGCAGTCTGTAAGCTGCCTCAGCCCAGCACCCAGAGCTGCAGAGCACCGGCCAGCTGGGGGGCCCAGGTCTCCTGAATGTTCAGTGCAGGCTCCAGAAACATCTGCCACCCCTGAGAAGCCTGGTTTCATGCTCAGATCTGAGGAGCCATCAGTAAGCACCTCCAGGAGCCATGAGGACGCTGCCCTGGGTCCCCTGCCAGTGGTCCCCATGGGCCAAACACAGCTGCCCCCAAAGAGGAGCCCAGGGCATGGGGCAGGAGAGGAGCATCCAGAGTCAGAGGAGTCAGGCCCAGCCAAGGCTGAGCAGGAGGAGCAGCCAGGAGCTGTGTCATGTGTAGCCCTGGGTGGCTGTGCCCCAGCTGGCCCAAGCCCAGAGGTATCTATCAAACTCTCTTTTCCTGGGCCCAGCTTGACCAACAACCCCCAGGAGAGGCTGCCAAGTACCCCATACCCTCAGCCCACAGCCACAACTGGGGACCAGGATGGGTTCAGTTCTGTCCCCACCTTGCACCTGGAGCCAGAGTGCCCCTTGCCAAGTCCCCTGCCAGAAACCGTGGCCACCAGCAGTGGGGGGGCCTGTGCCAAAGAGCCTGCTGTGGAGGGGAGGCCGCCAACGGCTCGGAGCTGTGACCCTGGCCTCATTGATTCCCTGAAAAACTACCTGCTTCTCCTGCTGAAGCTCTCCAACACAGAAGCCAGTAGGGCAGTGGCTGAGTCCCCAGCAGCAGCTGCTGCCACAGACAGAGCGCCAGCCCCGGCTCTGGTGCCCACGGTGGAAGTTGCAGGGCTGAGTCCCCGGACATCGCGGCGCATCCTGGAGCATGTGGAGAATGACCACCTGGTGCAGAGTGCGCAGACCCTGCTGCTGAGCCCCTGCACCTCGCGACGGCTCACCGGCCTCCTAGACCAAGAGGTGCAGGCTGGTCGCCAGGCTCTGGCCATTGCCCAGGCTGTCCAGAGCCCCGGGCCCAGCCCTCTAACTGTTCCTGCCATCGTGGTAGGAGAGGAGATCCCCAAGATGACTTCAGAAGGGTCCCTTGGGGGGCCTGACCTCCAGGGTGGGCAGGCAGAGGAGAGAAGGGCCAACAAACCCTGCCAGGAGGAGGCAGTCCTAGAGGAGGCTTTGCCGGGGCTCCCTGCAGCTACTCCTGAGGAACTGGCTCTGGGGGCCAGGAGGAAGAGATTTGTTCCTAAGGTCAGAGCAGCAGGAGAGGGGGAGGTGGCCAAAATTGAGGAAAGGGAAAGCCCCTCAGTTTCTCCCAGGGGCCCCAGGAAGAACCTGGCACCAGGGTCCCCTGGGACTCCAGGACGGGAGAAGCGCTCCCCTACCCAAGGCAGAAAGGCCACACTGGAGGTGCCTCGGGCAGAGGAGGAGCCCGTGGCAGGAGAGCTGGGCTCTAGCCCCAAGGCCGGAGGTCCTGACCCAGAGCCTGCCCTGGACGAAGACACACAGGAGGCCTCAGCCAAGTCTCGGAAGGCCAAAGACCTGCTCAAAGGTGAGCTCCTGGGAGGGGCTACAGCAGTGCTCCCAGCACTATGCACGGGGATAACAGGGCCTTTTGAGGGCTTGGCTCAGTGTGGCTGCACACGCCTTAGGGACGCTGAGGCAGGAGGACTAGGTTCAAGCCCAGCCTAGGCAACTAATGAGACTGCCTAAAAATAAAAAGGCCTTGGGGTGCAGCTCTGTGCGTAGGACCTCGGTTCCATCACCAGTACCGAGGACAGTGAACCCAAATTCCACCATGGGCTGGGCTTTGGTAGCCCCAGCTCTACATGGTGTCACCCACAGTCCCTCTTCACAGACTGTCCCATTGCAGCATGCAGGTACAGGGTTTGAATGCAGGCTTCTGGAACTTGGGGTTCAGCGGTGTGTTGGCTCCTCTCTGTCTCCACTGTGAGGCCTCCTGGCCTGGATAGCTATGACAAGAGTGTCTCTAGTTAAGAAGTGAGCTTTGGGGATCTGACCCACAACCCGGATACCCAAGGCCTGTTCCACCAAGGGCTCAGGAGCAGGAGTGCGGTCAGAGCAGCCACAGGAGGCAGATGTGGCTGTGGCCTCCTACCCGCCTGCTCTCAGCCCCTCAGGTAATCCGCAAGATCCGGGCGGAGCCATTCCCTGATGCCTCCGGCAGCCTGAAGCTCTGGTGCCAATTCTTCAACATCCTCAGCGACTCAGTCCTGACTTGGGCCAAGGACCAACGCTCGGTGGGCGAGGTGGGCAGGAGGTAAGTTACAGGGCCACACAGCTGCTGCCCCAGCAACAATCCCAAGTGTGGTCCTCCCGCCTCAAACTCATCACCCCACTCAGCTTCACTATAGCCCTAGTACGAATGTCATCATCCCCATAATGTAGGTGACAAAAGCGGGGCTCAGGGGTGTTAAGTCACTGCCTGAGTCACACAGTTAGCTGGTGTCAAGATCACAAAGCAGGCTGTGTTACCAGGACCTGGGTTCCCACCAGCCTGGAAGAGCAGGGCCAAAGGCCCTGGGGCTGGTGGTGGCCCTCATGAGAAGAATCTCCACTCTCTGCAGTGCAGGGGATGAGGGGCCGGCAGCCCTGGCCATTGTGCAGGCTGCTCCCACAGACTGCGGGGTATACCGGTGCACCATCCACAACGAGCACGGCTCGGCCTCCACTGACTTCTGCCTCAGCCCCGAGGGTGAGTGGCTGGGTGGGGGTCTCCAACTGGGATGGGGTGGCTCTCTGTGACAATAGGCACTGGGCCTGGAAGGCTGCTGGAAGCCAACCATCCTCGTCTTTTTCTCCATGCAGTGTTGTCTGGGTTCATCTCGCGAGAAGAAGGTGAAGGTATGCTGCCCCTCTCTGCTCCTCTAGTCATGAGGAGGGCCTTTGTTTATAGCTGGAATCTGTCCCCAGACCACTCACTGCCACCCTCTGCCTCTTGGAGGGTGTGAGAAGGGGTTGGAGGAGAAACACCCCCAGTGAGTCCTGGGTGTCCCAGGGCCTGCAGAACCCTGTGTTTGACTCACACTGGAGCTTGCTGCTGTGCAGCTCTGTGGCCTTTCTGGCCCCAGAGCCCTGCACATGGTGACAGTGACATGACCCCAAGTTTGATAAGCACTGCAGTGGCTCTGGGCCAAGGGGAGGGTCCATTGTGCTGCAAGACCTCACAAAGGCTGCATGCACTCCACCCATCTACTGCTTTTCATTCAGGTACCAATTAAAGTGCGACCTCTATAGAATAGAATTTCACACTAAAATCTTAGTGGTAATTCTTTCATATCATCAAATATCCAGGCAGACTTCCCATCTGTCTCTGTTGCTTTATCTGAACCTGGAACAATTCATTGCTTTTGGCTGATACATCTCTAAGTCTCTCTTAATAACTAACAGCTCCTCTCCCCGGTTTGTTTTCTCTCCTCGTCATTCATTTGCTTGTCTTTAATGTGTAGATTTCCGTACACTCCAAATTTTGTTAATCATTTACCCTTGACCAGCTTCTTCCACACGTTCGTCCTCTGCACTGGTAATTAGCTTGAGAGGTTTGCTGAGATTCAGGTGTGATTTTTTTGGTAGGAATATCTCACAGGTGTGCTGTGTATTCCCTTTGCATCCTATCCAAAGGCACATATGTCAAACGGTTCCACTTTATCTTTTGTTTTTTAAAGGTTTTTTTTTTGAAGGTCTCACTATGTAGTCTAGGTGGGCCTCAAACTCACAGTGATCATCCTGCCTCAGCCTCCTGAGTGCTGGGATTCAGTGTGCGCCACCACACCTAGTTTGGATTGTTTTATTTCTATAAGAATGTTAAGGTTGATCCAGTTTGCTGTTACCTGAATGATCTATCCCTTTTTAAAGTTAAAAAACTATGTGATATAGCTTCCTTTGTTATCTAGAAGGTTTAGCAATGGCCGATTATCACTGAAATCTATTACTTCATCAGGGAGCCACAGCACAAAAGTATTTTAATTCTATCATTTCACTTTCATTCACTAGTTGAAATTTATCTGTAAAGAAGAAATGATTATTTGGTCACCTTGATAACTACGAGTCCAACAGAAGATGAAGCATAACTACTTGCTCCTTTTCTTGTTACTACCAGATTTCAGGACAATGAGCTCGTGTTCTAGTAACTAAAGGTGACCCATAAGATTTATGTCTTTTTTTTTTTTTTGAGGGAAAATAGGCTTCATGTTTGTTTTGTTTTCAGTTACCATCATGAACAGGTGGACTTTCAACACATCTGATACATGCAGTACACTGCAATAATGACTCTTTGTTGCTAGGATTGAGTTTCACTTTTGGCCAAAGCAGCCCCATCCAGCTGGCTCCTGTGCCCCTGGGCAAGGCTGCAGTCAAAGCCACTCCAGCTATAAAAGAGTTTTTGATTGCTTCTTTGTTTTTTGGTCTCACAAAATGTTTGAGCTCCATCCTTTACACTTGTGTAGAGCCTGGATCCCCTCCCCTCCCCTTCCCTCCCCTTCCCTCCCCTTCCCTCCCC